CCTTGGGAGCTGGGTTCTCGTCTTTCACGTCAAGAACAGATTGAATGACCACTAGAAACACACTTAGGTCAGCAATCTGTCGGTTCATAATACAGGAGCAACAGAAACTTACATTTGCGTCCGGATTTACCCAACAGCGCGCTCCCAGATGAGGGTTGTTTACTACTCCAGAGGATCGCGCGCTCATAGGGGGCTATCCAAACCCATCGCTTGTGACGGTCGTTGCTACTGTCATCGCCATTCTTGTCCGTCATGCCAAACGACTTCCGTCTTCTGACATACTTGAACATCCATTCTCCAACCATTGTCTTAGCGATAGCATCAACAACACTCGTCGACTGACTAGAGTTACTGGTAGGTCGACCTGGCAGATCGTCTGTCTGCGCTGTCGTTGTCGACCATTGCGACCGATCTGTCTGTTTTGGATTGCTGATAGTGTTGCGCGGCAGAGGAGGTAGATCATGGCTGTCAGATGCATGAGTTGGGGGCATGAAGGGTGGAGGAGACCTGCTTCCACGTCGCTGGCTTCTCTTACGCGAGACTGCCGATGGAGGGCGGGCTTTCCGGATGCTGTTTGCCCGGTAAGGACCACGACTTGAACCTCGCCTGTGAATCCCCTCGTTACTTCTCACTGGGGTTGCGCCACGCCCCTCGCTGGGACTACTAGTACTAACAGGGTTCTTCGAACTGGCACGTTTTGGGATAGGGAATGGCGGTTCCGCGGTGTCCGTAGTGTGGCTCGAGGTTCTTGCCAAAGAGTGGGATACGATGCCGCTCTGTATCAAAGCAGCCCTTCGCATGCCATTTGCCTTGGAAGCGGTTGACCGTCCTGAACGCCTGGAAGCAGTTCGAACCAGGCTCAAATCGCGGCTATCGCGCTGATGGAAAATGCTGACAGAGTCAAAGACGTCTGAAGTGTCATTTTCCTCCTCCTCAAGCCCGCGAAGAGTGTTATGTACCCCAGCGGTCCTTTGGAGAAAGGTGTGCTCTGGTGAGCTCATTGGTGCAGTGCTTCCAGAGCTACGTTTGCCAAAGCTAGAATTGGTCACAGGCCTGGGAGCAGATAAAGCTGTGCGATATTCTGAATCGCTCTGGTCCGCCGGATCCATAAATTCTTCCTCGTCCGAGCTGTGTCCATTGAAATCGGCAAACAAGCTGCCAATCCGGCGCGGTCTTCGAACAGGAGCGTCATGATGAGACAACGGCCCGTCATCGTTACTTCCAGGGTAGGCATCATGCATATTTTCCAACATCGGAGATGCTGCGATAGGTGGCGAGGATGGGATCTCAGACGAACTGTGCTTGTTGGTCAGTCGCCTTGGGTTCCGAGGCGGTAGGTTTCCTGGTACTGGAGTGAACTGTCTAGCTTCCTCGGCGTGCTGATCAACGGACGAAACGGCTGGCGAAACAGGTCTCGAGATGATGGCGGAGGGATGCAAGTGGGTTGGGAGCTTAGCCAACCGCAAGTCAACCCGAATCTCCTCAGTTTGCACTGCAGTCGACTGCATAGGCACACGAGCAGGCATGGAGACCTGACAGCCAAAGTCTTTAGATAGGGGCTCCAGGAATGGTTCGCACGGCGACGCAGGTCGGCTCGAAGGAGGGATGATGCTGATACTGGGAATAGTGTATGAAGGAGACTCGAGGCCGATTGGCTGCAGCTGAACCGAAGGGACTTCGGTTTGCGTAAAGGAAGTTACCATAGAAGATGGCGTCGCTTGAGGTGTGGGCAGTGAATCCTGGCCTGGCCACTTGGGTGTTCGAGGTGGGCTGAGCGGCTCCGCCATGGTTTGCGTCGCTCCGTTCACCATCAGGTTTTGTGAGTTGGGTGGCTTGATTGACAACGGACCCCCAAGGTTGACTCTTTTCCTTCTTGAGTTTGGCTCAGATTCAGTGTCGGTACGGGGTGGGCTATCAACATCAGATGGCCTCTCGTATGGTTGGTGAGACGGGGTTAGGGCTGGTTGAGGAGTCCATGGTTCGATTGGCGCAATCCTGGGAGAAGGAGGCGGCGAGTATTGAATCCCAGTATCGACATAAGTCGGCTTCGGTGTTTGCGGCTGCAACTCCTCATCCTCTTTGATCACGGCGCCTTCCAGTCTATCAAGGGTGGACTGGTTCAGAGACAGCTTTCCACGATTAATGCTAGCAGATCTGAGAAGGCTTTCGGAGCTTTGGTGTCGTCGGTGTGTCTTAATGGAAAAAAGGGTATCGCGGCTTCCATGTCGCGTGTGACCGCTTTCACGGCTTGAAAGCCGCACGAACGCACTGTCACGGCTCGTGATTCGCATGTGTCCACGGTTAGACAAGACACTCTGACGGCCTCCGTAGTCGCTTTCATCCTCGTAGTCTCCATCAAAATCAAGCTCGTCTGCCAAGGTTTTACCATTCGGCTTCATCATTGCACTGACAGTAGAGAACCGAATGCTGTTGGTCAAGCTGAGAGTTCGGACGCTTGCGCCATCGTTGTCTTGTCCGGTTTCGCTGCCAGCCGCACTCTTAGGGCGATCAAGGCTAGCGGTTGTCTGCGCAGCTTGGAACGCAGTGACCTCATCAAGGACCACCTTCAGGCGGCTTTCCGCGACGTGAATACGGACCTCAAGCTTCCGCTTCTCCTCCTCCCACATATCCTTTTCTTTCGTCCATTGCTGATGGACACGTTCGATATCCTCCTCCTGGTTTCTCAGTTTCTTCTGGGTGGTCTCTAGCCTCTTCTTGGTGTCGTTCGCAGATTCCACAGCCTCATCGCGCTCTTTGGCAAGTTGATCTAATGCAGAAGAAGTTCCGCCTTCCAAAAGTGCTATCTGGCGTTTCAACGACCGGCTTTCCTTGGTAGTGTTCAAAAGCGTCGTTTGCAAGGACTCGGACTCTTCTCGTGTAGTCTGCAGCGACGTCTCCAGGCCCTCGATGACTTTAAGCTTCTCCTCTTGATCACGTCTCAAAGACAATATCTCTGAGACTAGACTGGCGTGAAGCGTAGGGGTAAATCTTCGTGGGTCAAGAATGCTGATGTTGTCGTCTATGCTTATGGCTTTCGATGCTCTTTTTGATCCCTTGTCAACCCAATCGGCGGGCAAAGGTGGCGGGGAGGAGCTTCCCGACCTGTTCGTTGGTGTGATGGACCGTCTGGATTTACGCGAAGCTCGGGATTGGTTTCGAGAACGGTTGCGTATCGAAGGGTTGCGGGTCGGCAACGACACCGCCGGGTCGGTCCCCTCGTCTTCGGTTTCCCAAGCGCCCATGGTGAACTGTTTGATATATCCTCAGGGTTGAAGAGCTGCAGTCTCGTACAAGCAACAGCCAGAACTTAGAGTATCGCCATCCCACTGTCTACTGGCAGTCGTCGTTGGCAGCGTTGGTTTGTCGTCTTTGAGGTCCCAGGATAATGGTTGCCCAATGGTGTTTGTTGCCTCGTGGAGACGAAAACGAAACCCGATGAATGTGAAGTGCCAACTCTAGAAATACGCTTTACGGGTCAGCAGCTCTCAATCAGGGCGACTGCTCCGGTTCATGTCACGTTGCCAGGGGGTGTTGCATTAAGGACTAATGACCGGGTTTCGCGAGAAATCATACCTGGAGGAACAGATACCCCCACACAAGGCGAGGCGAGATGTCGTCTCTCTCAAAGACACGGACTACCGTTGCCGTTTAAACGAGAAAGGGTGCTCAAATCCTGCCCTTTGAACGTCTTCACGTGAAAATTTCCGGTGTTGTCTCTGGCTGATTGGTTAGTTTGGACTTGATCTTTCTGGGGGAGAGGAACCCTTTTGCGGCTACACATTGTATAACGCCAGGCAAAATGGAAATTTGTGACCAAGCAACATGTCTCTGACTCTGTAACACGAACGCAAGTGCCTCCCGAGCAATGAGCATTAAGTGGGAAAACAAGATCACATATATTGAGGAGAGTTCACTTACAGGACCCGAATAATCCGAGTAAAATGTATATAGATGATCTCTCAAAGACCAAGAAAGGTAATCAGAGCGTGTAGATCGACCAGATCGACAGAAGAGCACGGCAGTCAGTGCTGAACAGTCGACGACGAGGGTGACTGAAGACTGTTATGACTGGCTGAACTGGGTTCGAGACCGATTAATCTGGTGGGTGGGTAATCGGAAATCGGGGATTTCTGGAGTAGTCAAGGGTAGGACCTGGATTATATTTGGCATCCAGAAAGAAAGCCCAGTCTGGTGGGTATCAACTTCCTCTTTTCCGCCCTCCCAATCGTTTGCACTTTCCGATTCTCTTTGAACGAGTGGAGCCCGCAAATCGGCGTGTAAATGAGATGATAAGTGAGCGGGTCGTTTCGACTTCCACCTGGGGCGACGCGCACGAACGATGGAGTTGGTGGACGTCAAGCTAATCCGCTATCGGAGGGCTTTGGACGAAAGCGTCCAAATTCCAGAAAGGAGTGCACTTGTTTGCTGAATAGGGACAAGTCAAGAAGGTGAAACAGCCCGAATCTTCCACTTTCGAAGTGAGGAAGCTGCGGTGTGTTACCCAGTAAGGAATCTAGTTGGTCCTGCCTGGAGTGGTCTTTCCTTTGGTCAGCGTTCCACCAGGTACAAGGAGGGGGGTACGGCTGGTAACATGATAACGTGCAGATTTAGATGAAATTGATCCCACAAAATGGAGCACAGAAAGAAGGACCTCGGAGCCTCGTGGTGCACTACACGTGAATAGTTCACGTAGTGAAAGCTCGTAACTGCCCGGTAGAAGCGGAGAGGGAGGGCATCGAGACGTTGAGTGACGAATACATACCGGATGCAGAATCGGAGGGGGGAAATGGGACTTTCTTCAAGAAAAAAGCGAGCGAAGCCGACTTGGTGTTTTGCAAAGTACTTCTTGATGAATTTGAAAATTCAGCAATGGCGTGAGTGGCGATAGGGCAGCACGTCTGAGACAGGTCGACGACCAAGACAGCCTAGGCAACCTAAAAACGAAGGTACGGGAATCGGAGGTCTCACAAGGCTACCTCTAAGTTGTAAGGCAAAGCGCAATGTGTGAAGCCTTGACGGATGCGCACCGACACGGCACTACCCGAACACAAGGAGAGGACGACGGTATGTACAACGGGCAGTAGCCGGAGCACAGACAGGGCGCAACGTCTAATACACTTCAACGTCGGCGTGTGAGAGTCCAGAGTCCGGTCGAAATAGACGACGGGATGGAGAATGGAACCTGAGGAGCACAATTCGGCTGCGACTCGAAAGGTGAAAAGAACAATGCGCACCCGGTCGCAAAGAACATGGACTGGATCGATACAAGGTACAGTAGAAACCCCTGAATCTGCAACTCATCCGGGCGGGCAAAAAGATTTGCACTTTCTGGGTGTTTGTAGTTGGGGGATCTGGTGCACAGACCATGAAGCCCCCTCCGGCCACTTGAAGACGCTTGGCTATACTAAAAAGTGGGACCTTGGAGCCTCGGTAACCGGGTATAAGTGTTCTCTCCCACCAAAGTTGGACCCCTGTAACTGCAAATCCTAGCCAAATCCTTTGCACTTTGCAGTTTGCAGTTTTTATATGGGAAAACAATTCCGGCCGTCCAAAAACTTGCACTTTGTGGGGTGTTTGCACTTCCAGGGGGTTGCACTTCCAGGGGTTTCTACTGTAGGTAACGAGACTGTGACCAGGTCCCCAGGAGAAACCAAGCAACCACTTTCCACTCGTCGTCCCTTTGGAGGCAAAGGCCTGGTTGCCTGGTCCAAGTGAGTGCTTCACTGGACATGGGTTGAGGTGGTTAAGTGCTAGAAGCGATCCACTTTCCAATCGAGCCTAGTGTAGAGGCTTGATGAAGGGCAAGAGTGAGAGGATGAGTTACTCAGCTGCCTGCTTGTACAGTACCCGACAGTACGAGATGATGTAACAAGGGGGGCGCACTATTTCTCTCTCTGGTGGTGTACAAGTAGGACGGGAGACCAGGAGGTGCATTTAGTGGTGCGCTAACCCCCAGAGAGATCGTGGTTGCCCCCGTGGCGACCAGACCCCCCAGCCGGGGACTTCACCTCAATGAGGTCAAGGCCGTCATCCAGCGAGAGAATGACGGTCGGGGTCCAGACACTGGCAGGCCAGAAGCATCCAATCTCGCTGGCGGAGAGAAGCGCCAGGCGCGTGAGAGGGCCAGAAATTGGCCATCATCACGGCTTCCCATGACGGCATATGCGCTGAGAGATGTCTCAACGGAAAACACAAGCGCGACCAGCGTCCGATGGCAGATGGACGGGGAGGTGAAGATCCCGTCGAGGAGAGAAAATATGTTGCAGGAGCTGTGCAGGGGCAGCAGTGTGGTTCAAGTTAAGATAAGGTAGGTGGGTACCTTGTGTTTTGCTGTGTAGAGGTACGTAGGTACCTACCTACCTGACTACATACACAGATTTTGGGGCACCTCCCCCTCTCCCGTCCGCCTCCCGCAGAGATATTTTCGGGGTCCCGTTCCTTGTGGGCAACAGCTCACGGACCATTATCGTTCGAGGTTCAGTAAACTAGAAGGGCCGGCTCGCTAAACTTTGGCGGTTACACAATCTCCAATGTCTGTAACCCTGATGGCAGAAATCTTCATGTCTCAATCTCTCGTGGTTTGGCACTTCATTGCCCCTGATAACCTTCGAGACAAGAGGCCGCTGTATCAGTTCTACCTAGGTAACTAGACTACAGGTGAGACAGTATACTACAGTGCTGGGACGCCAAAACACACCCGAGGTTATTAAATCACCAACAGGGGCGACCATGACAGCTGGAAGCCAAAGAGAGCTTTCCAATGTGTTCCTTTGGTTCCTGGCCTCGGCCTCGTCTGGCCACTACTGCGTACACTACTAGTGGACGACTTGGAAACGCCAGGGAAACGGTCGCCGGGAGGTACAGCTCGGGTCCGGGAAGCAGCGAACCCCATGACAGAAACCAATGGCCTAAAAAACCCTCTGAAGCGGCTCCGTAACGTCAGGACGAACCCGTCTGTGCTGATGATACACATGGTGTTCGATGTATGTACAATCCCAACATGCCACCTACCTATATTACAAGTCGTTGTGGAATATCACGCGGTGCGCCAAGATGGGTTGTCGTCCCATGGAGAATCGAGATATCCAAGGTATCATTCAGGATAAGCTGGGACTTTCTGGAAGCCGTCCCGTTCTCGCTTCAAGATGTGATATTGACGCATCATCTTGCCCATCATCACCACACCCTCGGCCGTCTCCATCACATCGGAGATGCGACCTCGTACCCTGCACCACTGAAAAGAACACAAGTGCTCGTGTGACGAGTTAATTGGCTGAAGGGCCTGGCCTACCATCACCGGGACTGAGGCTCGCCAAGCTATCCCAGGCTTTCCCGCAGCGAAGCCACATGAAACGCTGAAGCTCGCCGTCCAGAAATGGCTCTGCTCTAACCTCTCCAACGTCAAAGGCTCTCTGGAAGCACTAAACCCTTCTGGTTCCGGGTCAGCGAAGGTTGGATGTGACCGATTGACCAGTAGGATGCTGCCATTGCGCCAGCCAAATTTCTTTTCTGTGATGGGGCGACCGCCGATCACAAGTTCTTCAATCACTAGCAGTGGGGAACCATCACTTTGAGCCCCTAGCTTCCTCATCACGGCGGCTTCACGGATGCCATCCGTTCGTTCAAAACCCTCGATGACGGTGACGGCGACGACAACTTTGTGCTGCTTTTTGTAGGGACGCGGAGGGCAGATTGGTGCAATGACCAATGGCGTTGGAAAAGGACAGTACCGGTACGCCACGCCCGCGCCCGAGTCTCAGCCTGCGCGAACATCCACCAAATAATTGCCTGTCATCCGCAGGCCGTTCCCCCCGAGCAATTGAGACATTTCGCCGAAGGTCCATGATGTTGAAGATGTTGGTTGTCGTTACACAAAAACCGTCTGGGGTTGCATTCTCACACCCACTCGCATAACCAATCTCGTGTCTGCAAAATGATGCCGTCCTCACGGACAGATTCGACAGACAAGCACATGTGGTCATCAACTTTCAACCTTATCACCAACATTCCTGCACCAAGGTCCCATGCTTCGACTTTGAGAGGATCGCCCGTTGGCCCCCTAATTCTCCGCATAGTACCACCTCACTATGCTATTGCGACGGGCATATTCCTTCACGATCCCCCACAGAGGGCTTAAGCGCTCAACAGCGTTATCCCAGGCTCACCGTCGATCCGACCATCCCAGTCGTGGCAGGTTTTGGACATGACCCTCCAGCTTGTGGATTGCCTTCGATAGCACCTCAGCACCTGTAGGAGCAACTAGATATGTAACCCCGCGTCACTACAGCGGCCAACAGCGCCTAACCAAAGAAAAAAAAAAAGAAAAAAAAAAAGAAAAGAAAAAAAAAAAAAAAAGCAACAAGCGTGAGACAACACGGGCCAAAATGAGAGGGGACCGGCAAATCACGGCCGTCACGGTTTGAAAAAGGCAAAAGAAATGTTCACTTGTTTCTGCTGTGTGTGTTGATTGCATGTGCAACGCAGCCAACAACATCGCCTTTCAGCGAGTGTTCCATTCGCTTCCTACTTCCACTTCCCTACAAACTTGGTTGTGCCGTTGCGGCATCCGCGGGAGATTAGCAAAGGTGTACACTACCAAGGAGAAGGCAACATGCCTTACACCTCTTGAGGTGTACGTACAATCATTTCCATCATCCTCATTCTCATCCTCGGCGCAATGGGATGTGTCCCGGTTCGCCTAGGAAAAGAACCGAATCACCATGCGCCTCCCACGGTGCGATGTGTTCCGTCTGAACTTTGGGCTGGGCTGATGGGATGAACTCCGTGCTCCTTTTGCAAGGAGAGACACGTCAGTAATCTGGATTGTATCTGAAGAGTGAGGAAAAGTGCATTGGCCAATCGTTCGCAAACTCTCCGCGACCCCCTGGGTCTCTTGTGTCTTGCCAAGTCGGCACAAGACGGTTTCTCTGTCGGTTCCCGAGAAGCATCCAACGGTTCGCGTCAATTGCACTCGTGATTCTGACAGGTAGCTGGATACCTAAGTCAGTAGTGTACCTCAAAAATCTCTGATGTCTTTCTCACTGCCAACAAAATCCCATCACATTATGGATGAATGATCATCAGCCCCGTCACTCCAACGATCATCCAAGACTTCTCCATCAGTCGCGGCGCCATCGTAGATCACTACAACTGCAGCGCATTGCATGCGCTAGCGTACGTACGGCACTGCTACATGATGCAGGCTAAAGCTTCCATGATGGGTCCTCGTGTCGCCCGTACCTGCAGAGCCGAGCCAAAAATTCCAGGGGTGTTGTGCAAAGGGCAATAGAAAATTTCCCAGGGGTTGCTACCTACCTATCCTACAACGCTCCATGTCTGGCTGTACGCGGACTTGCGGAGCCCCTTTTCCGGTCAACGGTTTGGGGAGGTTTGAGCAAGTATGCATACCGAGATCCAGAACTACCTCTAACTCTCTCAAGACCGTTGGCGAGGGTGATGAGGCGGGAGATAAGAGAACTGTGTCCATGGACGACTAAATGGAGGTGCAAAGAACACGCGTGCTGCCCACACATGATGAACGTCTCCCAAACCTGGCTGCGGAGGTCGCAAGAAAGAGGGCAAAGGAACTTTCCATAGGGCCCGGTTTTTCCAGGTTTATTTGATTGATGTTGTTTATATCGGGCTTGATCCTGAAATGTTTTGGTGCTTCGTTTCAGATAAAGTGCTCGACAAACACGTCCTAATGTCCATGTTTCTGGACCTCACAGTTTCAAGGCTCAAATTGACTGCGAAATCGAGAACCTTTAGCTAGTTCTTGACAACTCATAGGGACATTCTGATGGTCACAAGTAATGTGACGAATCATGGGACGTCTATTCCAGTCTAATCGACATCTCACATCCGACAGTAGTGTATACAACCTAGTACTGGTGTATTTGTTAGCTTGATACCTGGGTAGGTACTCATTCCTGGTACACTGGACGAGATGTCTTCCAAATTGCTCCAAACCTTTTAAGGACTGAATGAGTATCTCGACATGAATGCGAGAGTCATCAACAAGATTTGATGTGGTGCATTTAGTAGCATATTCACAGCATAAAAACGCTTGGAAAAGTTGACACGAGGTCTCGAACTAACAACCAAGCCATGGCTGGACTATATCTCCCGTCAAAGTCAGACAGTGAAAAAATCGCTTCCCCGATATTCAAGATCGAGAAGGGTTTCTCTTGCAAGGATATGAAGAGGGCCCGTTCTTCTTCATGGTCTCTGTATGAGTGGCCGAACTGATGTGATTCTTCAGGCTCAGTGTACCTTTGCCAATACCTATCTGAAACATCTACTAAGCTCTCAATATTGCGACTATGCCCGCAAATATAAACTGCGCAACTACAGTGTGCTGTATCTCCAAGGCGTCATCATCTTCTATGGCTGTAAGTTTTCGCTGCTTGCTGTGATGATAGCCGGCTATATGCACGGTCAGTCTACTTTTCTCATCTACGGTAGTGTACTTTCGGGGTCATAGTGGAGGTTTCTTCATACGATACCGATGTACATTGAGACTCGTCTGTCGGAGAAAACTTAGGTTCACAACGTTTTGTTGCGCCATGCAGCAACTTCCACCCTCGAGTGTCGAGGGCGGTACTGTCACGAGAAGGCTGTGTCTCACAATGTTATAGTTGATATGCTGAGAATGGTATAATGTATATGAATATCACTTTTAAACAAGACTGTTATGAAAAACCCAACGCACAACTTTGAGATCAAGTCTGCCAATGTTCTGTCTAAACCTCCAATATATCGTCCGATGAAATGCCCCAACAACCCAGTGCCGAGGAGGAAAATATGGCACAGCCAATTTGGTCTATCACACTTCATCCTCTAAGCCCCAGTCTCCTGCTCCGCATCTGGGCGGATATGAGGCTGGCGTGAAGGAGGTGCAGTGCTGACCGTAAGGGGATACTTGTTCAGCGCTTCGAACAGCAGAATTACTGAAGCAATCTAAATGATTGGCAGTAGTTAGCATATGGTTTTCCAGAAAAATCATCTGATGGAGAACGAGTGTACTCGTCCCCGAAGGAAAGAAATAGAAGAACCACCACCCGGAACAAGAAGAACGATAGATAACTTACCAAAAAAGCCCAACTTGCCACAAAAGTAGCCATCCCAACCGCATACTCATACTGCGCCCCAGCATTTTGCACAAACCCCAGCGCCCCCGTAACTATCAACCCAAAACTTCCCACCAGACACCAAGCACCGATATGCCATCCGAGCAGATTTGGCGCGGGAACGTACCATCTGTCCTGCACTTCCACCATGGTCAAGACCGCCGAAAGACCAAAGAAGAAGCCTCCGACAACCTGGGGCACCCAGTAGCACCCAGCAAGCGCGCCCGTAGAAATGTTGTTTTGGACAATTGGCAGACCGGTGAAACCCTCGGTCCAGAAAATTATCGATCCGATTAGCTGCAAGATACACGACAGGAAGCCAATCTCGTGCAGGTAGTGCGACTTGAGCTCGTCGGAGGATGGCCACCACTTCCACGCGCGCGAGGGGTTTTGGTGGTTGTGGTGGCTATTGATTTCTCCCTTCCCGTCGGAGTCATTTGAGTCCGAGGCATCGCCATCGCTGTGAGCTTGCGGGTCATCTCTCTTCTCGTTGTGCAAGTTCTGGTCATCGGGCACGGAAACAGAGACGGGTACCACGACGGCTTTGCGCTGATCTCTCGGGTTAGACCCCCGAAGGATGACGTAGCGAACGTGATGGTGGTGGGTGCATCGCTTGCCCTGTTGCTCTTCAGAGCGCAAGCGGGGACCGTCCGCGTTGCCGGCGAGACTTTCCTCGAGGGCCCAGCCGAAGCAGTCGGCACGGTTTTCGTTAACGGCTTCGAGCATCAACAGGACTGATGAAATGACCACGAGAGTACAGGTGATGAGACGGGTGGCGCCGGCGCCGGTCTTTTCGCCTTCGAATTCGGATTCGGGTGTGCTGAGGGGGAGATAGACGAAGAAGCCGTTGATTAATCTTGATATCGCGGCTATGGAAACCCGTTAGCAACCAGTCTTGTTGTTTTCAACTCGCTCACTCCCATTTTCATGCCGAAAAGGGGTAGTGGGAAAGGGGGCAGTGGTCACCAATACAAAAGAACATAGACAAGATAAACAAAAAAAAAAAAAAACTTACCAAGGAAAAACGTTAAAGCCACATCATAACTGATATCCCACCACGGAAAGCTCGTCACCATCTTCGACACACCATGCCACGTCGATATCCAGCTGTTTGTGACTCTCGGGCCTTCCCCCCGGTTTTCCTCTCTGGCATCCTCCTCCTCAATCCCCTCACCCTTCTCTTCATCCTGCAACTTTCTCCTGTGTCTCCACCCACCACTAGTCCTGCCACATTCCTCTCCATCGTCGTTATCCTTCCCACTCTCTTCATTTCCACCTCCTCCTCCATTACTTTCCTTCCTCCCCTTATGCTTGCCCCGCCGCAAGATTTCTGGCTTCGTAACAACCGCCGCATGTCTGCCCTTCCTATTGTCCCTACTCCGCCAGACATAATACACCCCACTATCCTTCTGATCCTGTTCTCGCTGCTTTTGCTGCGTGGTGTTAACGGACGTCTTGCTACCATTCCCGTTCCCGGCCCCGAGCTGGACGATCCTTCCGATTTGAGAAGGTGAGGTGCCGAGGGCACCCGCCAGCCGCTCGGGCGAAACGGTCGCTGCGTTGGCGGCATTTTGGAGCGAGCTTTGCGCGCTGAGCTGGGAATCGGTAGCTTCGAGGGCGTGGCCGATCTGGTCGGCGGAGAGGGTGGGGATGTCGGTGTCCTGAGGGAGGGATGCGACGGCGGCTTCTTGGGTAGTGTCGTTGGTGGTACGGTGGCCGAGGACGGAGGCGGCTTCGTTACCGGTTAGGGAGAGCTCGTCGGAGGCTCGGGATGGCTTCTTCTTGTTTCCTGTTGCTGGATCGACTTGGGGCTCGACCTCGTTGTGGCTTGGGGGCGCGAGGACGTGATAGCGGGCAGTTGGGTTGAAGAAGGAGAAAGCGCCGCTGGTGTAGGCAGCGTTGTAGTGTTTGGGGCCAGTGAAGTGGTTGGAGTCCTTCCGCTTGGGAGGGCTTGTTGTGTTACCCATGAATATGATCTGTTTCTTCTGGATATTTCCCTTTTCTGGGAGAGTGTAAAGTCTGGATCTCTCTTCTTGTTGGTGATGATTGTAGCGTATACGATCTTGGCGCAAGATCTAGTCTTTTTTTTTTTTTTTTTTTTTTTTTTTTTTTTTTTTTACTTGGGTAGGGTGTATGGTTTGATAAAGTCAAGGTCAGTATTCTTGTCTGTCTTTCTGTGGGACACTACCATACAAATATGAAGATGAGATATATTCCAAACACAAAGATCCGTACCTACCCGTTCAGACTCGCCGCGCGTCGACCCTCTTCTCCACGCCTTGCCTATAATCCTACTTCACATATTGATAAGAGTTTTCGACAGCACACAACGTAGGAGCTATGTCTCCGACGTTAATGCCGAAGAGATGTTGAAGATTCAGCCTTGTCCAACCACTTACACGCGCAAAAAGTGGTTTACATCAGAACTTGGCTGGAGGTCGACGATCGTTCCCACTGTTTCCCCCTGCTTGGTGGAACCAACTCAGCCCAGTTGGACATGTATTTCATCATTTGCATTGCGACCGGTTTCTTTGTAAATCGGCAGTGATCGGATGTAAATCCCAACATGGAAGGTGTTCGAGAAGGCGAAGAAAAAGTGAAAACGTGACAATGATACCACGCATATGAGTGGTGGGGGGAGTTCTTGAGAACCACATCGATAAAAGAGAACGTCGCCGGAATCTTGGCAATATTCGTTTGTCCAGAAAGTCGCCATTTGCCGTCCATCTGGTCCTTGCTCGCCCCCAGAAGGAGTAGTGTAATTCGTCGAAAATTCTTTGCCATTGCCGAAGGGGTGTTGAGATTGAGATGTGGCGGTGGGCTTTCGACAAAACCTGCTATAGGAAAAAAATAAAAAAGAAGAAGAGCCGTTAGCACGATAGATGATCTACGATGAAAAAGGAGCAAAAACTCCGGGAGCCATGCAGCACGGCGCCGGTCCCGAAACCGGTGGTGTTCCTTGCTGCTCCTTGGATTGTCATTGGTGTTTGTCGTCCACCCCAACTTGGGGGAAGGAACGTGGAAAGGCGTGGTTGCGAACCTAACGACCTAGCAAACCATCTACGCCATCTCGATCGCTGCCATCTTTTCCTGGCTTGTGAATGCGACCCGTGCCTGCCGTGTTTGTGCCGTTGGTCATGCTGGGATTATCCCGTGGCAGCCGTTTCGGCCCCATGAATGCGGGGACCGGGTGACGTTATTCGGGCCCGAATGAACGCTTCCAGCCTGCCAACGCCTGCCTCGTGCCTACCTTGTTTCGCCTGTCAACTCTAGCAGCAACAACAACCACCATTTTTGCACCAACAGACATTCCAACTACCTTGTTATTTGCAGTCTTGAGAGACTTCCTTGGGGATCTTTGCGATTCGATACAGCGAAGTGGTTAAGAAGTCTATCGTGTGCCATAAGCTGACTGGAATATTTCTCGAAACTCTTTCATCTAATGACGTAATTGGAGAAGAGATTGGAAAGGTGCTTGGAGACGTTGCAATCGCGCAATTATCCCCCTCCCGAGATGTGCAGATGCGGGGAAGAATAGTGCAAGCGATGTCGCAGTGTGGGTAGTAGGTAGTGTATAACACCTTCTGATATCATTCAGTTCTTTGGAGTCCCTCCTCTTGAATACACAAACAAACAACTTGAAACAAACAAACAGTAAAGGCTACTTTGTTTGCTTGAAAGCCTCCCCGCCCTTACCTTTACCTGATCATCGGATCTTGCACCCTGTGATCACTGTACTCCAACTTACTGCCACAGGCCATTTACCCACCTCAACTTGCATTCCGAACCATGCCGGCGATGCATCAAGCCCCGCCCTGGGCAACCGAGATCAAAGCACTCACCTTTGATGTCTTCGGCACCTGCGTAGCCTGGCGGGAAAAGGTTGCCTCCACCCTTGCTTCGGCCACCGAGACCAAGCTTTCTTCCGCTTCAGCCTCCAACGCCACGTCATCGGACACGCCACCGTCTGACCAAGTCCTCTCCCGCGCCCGCTCCCTCACCCGAGAGGACTGGGCCCATTTCGCCCAGGAATGGCGCCGGGCCTACGGGGATTGGACCCGCTCCTTCGTCCCCGACGAAACACCCTGGAGGGACACCGACACCTTCCACCACGATAGTCTCGTCGACCTGCTGGCTAAGTGGCAGCTGGACGGCCTCTTCACCCCGTCCGAGGTCGAGAAGCTCAGCCTTACCTGGCACGACCTCCCGCCCTGGCCCGATACTATCCGGGGTCTGCATCTGCTCGGCTCACGGTACCACACGGTCGCCTTGACCAATGCCAACCAGGCCACCCTTAAGGATCTGAACAGCCAGAAGGGCGTCGACGGTAGCTCGCCGCTAGGGTTCCAGCGCTTGCTCTCGTGCGATATGTACCGGGCGTACAAACCGAACCCAAAGGTGTACCAGGGCGGGCTGCGGGACTTGGATCTGCAGCCCAGAGAGGTAGCGATGGTGGCGGCGCACTTGGGTGACTTGGGGGCTGCCAAGAAGGAGGGGATGCGGGCCATCTATGTTGCGCGACCCGGCGAGCTGGATTTTGACGCCGATGAGGAGAAGCTCAAGAAAGCCAGAGAGTGGGTGGATATCTGGATAGATGAAGGTGAAGGGGGCATGGTGGAGGCGGCAAGAAGATTGGGCATCAACGTCGACATCGACGATGGCGATGTGGCCAGAGTCCTAGGCTGAGTGGCCTGTTGTCCTGGTCCAGACCATCGGCAATCTGCGCTGACCGCGGTCAGCCTTCGAGAAGGAAATGGCGCTTCCGCTTTCCTTCCGTCGGGATTCGGGACCCGGATCGGGATGCTACCTTGTCGGCGAAGATTGGAGAAATTCAGGGGCGGCTGGTCGGGTCAGAGTTTTCATGGCATCTCGGATAGACTGTTCAGGATGCATGTGATGTACCTTTCCCCTTGCCATTTAATCACCCAAGGGACCGGAACCTGGTAGGAGGGAGTGAGGCGGACAGGACTCGGAGCCAGGACAGAAATGGGAAGAAGACATGGAAGTTTCGGTTGACGCATTGGTTCAGGAACCGGCTATGCTGAAGATGGTTGTTTCGCGAGGACCGTGTCCTTGTCCCCTTCGAGAAAAAATTTGAAATTGCGATGGATGCCACGAGCCTCTTAGCGAACCCGCCGATACGGAACCTAATTCGGCGTATTCGGTGCGGAAGTGAAGAGCATGGAGCAGGAGTAATATTGATTTTCCCGGACCGGTCCCCCGGAGCCTCCCCCCCTGTCACTCCCCCTGGACGGAGCCTAATATGTACACTAGTAATGCCAGACCGCCAGGTCCCAAACCAGGGGATCGGATAGAGGATCATAACCTCAAAGGTGGTAGGCGACCCTGACAATGTCCAATCGCGGAACTACGCTTATGAAGCCGGCCATGTTCAGAGCGGAACTTCCGTGTGTTGCTGAGTGTCGGCATCCCTGACCATAACCTGACCGCAAATGGGTTACCAATTTTTCCCGTCTTTTCGTCGTCGACGCGTCCCAACAGGTTGGGTTCGTTCCAAGGTCCGGAATTGCTATTGGACCCTATATCGAATCGAAGTTTCAGGAAATGAGTGGGCTCGACAGGAGATACTGTGGGACAAAGTGAGTCTTTTTGTGAGTTTTGCCCGTGAGCGATTTGGTCACTTGATCAAAAACTGTGGCGGTTGTCTCAACGACAAAGGGATTTATTCGACATGATGGGGCGCCCTGATAAGGTCAGTAGTCAATCGGTTAACGAGGCAAACGAGGTGTCATTTCCTCATTTTGTTGTCAACTCTCCCTTCTATGCCCCTTCAAGCACGTAGGAGGCGTCGCGGCGTCGGTGTATCTGAACTTGTCCAGGAGCTACTGACAAGGAAAGAAACGAAGTGGTTTTTTTTTTGTAGTCGTTCGCAACGTTGGCTGTCGCCGTCGTATACATAGTACCTACCACCAAAAGGGACCCGAATTGCCTGATGGACCTGAGTCTTCGGCCGGGGTACCCGGTGTAGACATTGAGGACCTGATTTGAAAGTGCCAGGATGCTGGCGTCGTTGTTGTGTATTGGACCACTGATGGAGTTTGAAAGACCGCTAAAGTGGGAACAACCACCCGAACGTGTGGGTTGGAGGCTGGTTAAGCGAAGCTAGGGAAGCGTGAGAGGGGACAGATTCGGGTAACTTGAGTATTCGTTTCGGGCTTGTCGTCCACGAGGCATGACGGCGGTCATGACATTGGACGGGCTTGTCGCCTAGAGAAATCGCAAGAATGGCCACAGCCCATGCCCGTCTGCGAGGCTCCATGGGTCGTCCTATCCCCGCCCGGGAAGAGCACCCAGAATTGCAAAAACGGGTTTGTTTGATGAACATGATGTCCACCGGATTGCGTGGCCTGCTAGGTTTGAATCTTGATATGGCGGCGCCAAGCTGTCAACAATCGCTGCTCCGAATGCCAGATACTTAAAACAGATGTACGGCTAGTATTGTGTGGCATGCTAGGGAGACATTGTCCTGGAACTCCAATCTGGGAAGTGACTGGAGGCGCCTCCCAGCGTTGACAATGGTAACTCACATGATGAGGATCAAATGCACATCAATTGAGCTCTGCAACGGTTCGGAGAGGGGAAAAGGGCATGAGGAGTCGATGAGGCTGGGGGTGTTTTTGTTGGCGGGGTCCATCATGCAAAACAGCAAAGGCAGTGGAGGTTCCTGAATTGCGGAATTGGGTACCTGGTGGTCTTCCTACCATGCCATGTCCATCACACTCACTGCCTTTGACAGCGGAAGAACCTCCGCTTGTTTGGCTTCCAATCCGCACGATGGGTAGGAAGGGAATGTGAATTGCCTCAATGTCATCACTTTCAGTCATCGCTGCCAGATCTTTAGCTCAATGAAGACAAAGGTCCAAACAACCCCTCACTGGCTTGGATAACGTGCTGGAGGAAACATTTCATCGAAGGACGAGGGGAAGGAACAAGCCTAGGGAGGGGAGGGGAAGTGACCTATGTGGTACAATGGAGTCGAGGATACCTAGCCGATACCGATAGGCGATAAGCATCCTAGAAAGTACCTAGGTAGAAACACTTTCCCGTCTCCCGGTAGGTCGTCGAGGACGAGGAAGGTGCTGACCCGTAACCTCATGCATGTACTGTAGCCGGTCTGGGGAGGGGGGGTATCCGATGCTTTGGACACTTGGCCGGGGCCGCTGCGGCCACCATGCAACAAAATCCACCTCTCACGCGTTTTCGGGGTCCTCTCGCTTCAACCTCCCTCCAGATGCCCCTCCATTTTGCTGATGAAGGTGGAGGGAGGGCCGGTGAATGGGGTCAAAGGGAGGGAAAAAAAAAAAAAAAAAAAAAAAAAAAAGAAAAAAGGCGTTGAAGCAAGCAAAGAAAGACGACAAAGTAGGGACTTGGATCAAATGTTCAGTTGGTTTACGAAAACGATAGCGGTCCCGAATAATTGCAAAGAATCACTGAAAGAACAGTCAAGAAAACAGACCTTGTAAGCAAGCCGGCTCCCGCAACTGCGTGCGAGCTCAGGCCGGGGTTCAAGAGACTTGAGAAAGATGCGAGACGCACTTCGTGTCGTGGTCAACCACTCCGTCTCTAAACCTCCAATATCGTTGGTTTCCCTCTTTTCATAGCATTTATTTTGGGATTCAGGCCGGCACCCGCTCCGGGGGCGGTTTGGGTATATGGGTACCGAGCGTCACGCATTTTCAGCCTCGCCCACTGGCAGTTATGGTAGTTGTCTTGCATTTCCCCGCCGTCACCCGCCACTTGTCTTTCAGAAAAAGTGCCAGTGCAGTTGAGCGGATATCAACTGATCGTGGTGGGTTGAGGCACTTCCCCGGACTAAGAAAACCAAAGTGACAGATGACCCCGTCCCGCCCTACCGCAGGTCTTTGCCACTCGGGTCCGGATATCGGTATCGTCAGCCGGACATGCTATCATGGTTGTATCGCCGTTCCGCGTCGTGGTTGGCACGTACACTAGTGCACAGCGTAGCAAACCAAGGCGCCAAGCCAAAACCGGCAGTAACGGGGAACGGGATCCTTTACAGATCCAACAAGACGGATTTTGCCGCAGTGCGTGCGTAATCAATGAGGAATTAATCCGTCGTATGATCTTGGTCAATATCACGTCGGCAGGGGGAGACCGGCTTGAAGTCTCAAAAGGCAGGCCCCGTCTTGGAATTCCCGATAGCAATTGTGATGACAGCAGCCCGAGGAAGGACAGAGGCAAGGACAACCAGAGCAGCAGAGCAGACGAGGAGGTCAAGGAGGGGAAGAGCCGTGCGTGCGTCCAAGGTTGTGCTTGTGTCTCCGTGTGTCCGTGTCCCTAGTCCGTAGAGGTACTAATGTCGACAGGGTGCTGAAAAGAAAAGATAGGTATGCAAAAGATAAGGCCTGTGTCGCCAACGGATCAGATCCCGTGGTTCGGGTCACAGAAGGGTAGTCCAAAGGTCGAGTATGTAGCTGTACGGCCCCAGATTTGCGCAGGCCCAGGCAATGTACGGGAAGCTGCTTTTACACCACGCTGCGTGTACTGTCACCACTGCGAATCCAGATTGGCTGCGCTTGCTCGATGTTGAGCGCGAGTGGACGGAGGAGCGAATGGAGCGGGTCAAAGGCGCGCGCCATTGGAACGGTGCTCCATGTCCCGCAAGCGCCGTTCTCGCAGACTGGACAGCTTTGCCAGCCAACGAGCCAGCCTTTGCCGCATTCTCAATGGATGGCCAACTCGCTCTATCAACCTTGCCTGCGTTACCAATGCAGCTGTCCGACATGAGCACGCTTGCTGTCAACTGCTACCTTGTCGATTATGTCGATTGCGAAGTCCTGACCCAAATGGGAGTAGCTAGCCCCTAAACAAGAGAACTGTCAAGCCCAAAGACCCCGGGACGGGGGGACTATGTATAAAATAAAATAGGACGAGCTGTGGGACCGAGGACACCCTATAAGCTCACAGGCTACTTTAGCAGTGGCAGGTCGCTTGGGTCACGGTTGCAGCAAGCCATGCATGTGAGGTGTGTACATATATGTCGAAATGTGTGTGTGCGTGTGTGTGTGTGTGTGGTGTATGTAGGTGTATGTGGGTTCAAGTACGGCAACGAGAGTGAGTGTCATTGAGGAGGCTCTGAGGGTCATGATCACGTTTAAAGTTTTCTGGGAAGAGGACTGCAACTTTCTTTTTGTCCAGACCAATCACATGGTCAGATGCCGGTCTGGACTTTGGAGAGATAAAGATAGGTCGGAAATGTTTGCCTGGGACAAAAGCTCAGGACCATCCCACCGGCGCCATGACGGTACGCGGTAGTCAAAGTTGACGTCGGGGACGAGGTCTGGGTCAAGATCAAACACAAGAAGACTGTTTGGATGGGACCATAAGTACAAGTAAAACGTCATGTATCTATCTGTCAAACGGAGTTATGCTTGTAGGCATGCTAACGTCTAAGGTTTTGGCCAAGGGCGCATCGCCTTCGCAGTGTCTCCTGTCTCTCGCTCATTATTCGGGCAAGCGTTTGAGATGCACTGGGTGAGGTGCCATCGTGACAGCCCCAAAACCCGAACTGAGCTGTGACACTGGACAACTTGACATGTCCCATTCCGATCTCATCTTCCTTCCGCCGGCTCTGCCTCCGATATGTCTTTGACAAACCACTGAATAAGCGAGACTCTTAACATTACCTCTTTTATTATTACCTTACCCCCGTCGGCCGAGGATCCATTTGCTGGAAAATCCCAAAGCTTATTAGAGGGGGATCCGTAGGGGCCGCTGGGACCACATTGCAGAGGGGTGGTACCTGCCGGGCCAGGTACTGGACATCCACAGGCACTCAGAGAGCCCATGCTGGCAGTGTAGGAACCTGGAAGGCCAGAGCCGCCCACCTTCAGCAGTCCCCACAAGGAACACCCATTCTCCACGGGCGCATCCAACGCTTACCCGCTAGTCGAACCTCCCCATTGGTCCAATCCCCTCTCCCCTTCAATCCACTCTGGGTCCTGCTACCCATCCACTCCATTCTGGCCAGCCAGACCTGTTCCGCCAAGAGCCCAGGTGCAAGTTGTACCGACCTGGGCGCTGGGAAAGTATCGTCGCTAGCGGGCAGGTACTGCACAGACCTACCACCTCCTCCTCCACGGCCTACCTACCTAACGCCCGCGAGTCCGCCGGTGGACACCCGTACCCCCCAACCACACTCCATGCATGTAGCACTGCCAACCACTGCCAGCCATTCAACCCCCCCCGGCTGCTTCGTCTTCTTATCATTCTTCTCCCTCACATCTTTCTTTCCCCCCAATCCATAACCTCAACCTCAGAGGCAACCACATCCAGGACGACCCTCACGACGACGACGTGACGACCACTCTTCAAATCCGCGCCGCACTTCTCAGTCGCTGAACGCCTGTTCCAATTGCCACTCGTTCGTGGCTGCGCTTGTTAGAGCTTCTCTCTGCAAACACGCAACACTACTACCTACCTACCTACCCATTCTACTCCTACTATCACTACGACTTCCCATAGTCCACCGCATTCCGACTCGCGGCGAAGCCTCGGCTTTCATTCCTCTTCTCCCCTAAATCATATTTGTCGTCCGCCCCTCATCCAAGCTTTCCTTGGCGCTGCTTCAGCTTCCTCGACACTTGGACATCCGCGAAAGTACGACAGCAAGACTCCATCATGGTGGGGAACAAACAGGTGCTATACAAGTTGGTGGTGCTCGGTGACGGAGGCGTGGGGAAGACTGCCTTGACCATCCAGCTCTGCTTGGAGCACTTCGTCGAAACCGTAAGTGTGCTCTTCTCACAACCCTTCTCCCTTCAGGCTGATCATCTGCCTCCGCAATTGCATATCCCTGCATTGCCCACGTCCCTCCCTGGCTTGGCCAACTAGCCGCCTACCTGCATTCTCAGCCTGTCGCTAATCTCGACGATCTAGTATGATCCCACTATCGAGGACTCCTACAGGAAACAGGTCGTCATTGACGGTCAAGCATGCATGCTAGAGGTTCTGGACACAGCAGGACAGGAAGAGTACACGGCACTACGAGACCAGTGGATCCGGGATGGTGAGGGTTTCGTGCTAGTATACAGCATTTCATCACGCTCCTCCTTCGCGCGCATCAAGAAGTTCCACCACCAGATTCAAAGAGTCAAGGAGTCGACCTCGTCGCCGTCAGCGTACCCAGGATCTTCACCTCTCGCCGCTACCAACCCGTCCGCGCCTGTGCCAATTATGCTAGTGGGCAACAAGAGCGACCGCGTAACGGAGCGCGAGGTTTCCACACAAGAAGGACACGCTTTGGCGCGAGAGCTTGGCTGCGAATTCACCGAAGCGTCGGCAAAGACACGCACAAATGTTGAAAAGGCCTTCTACGACGTCGTCAAGCAGCTGCGAAAACAGCGACAGCAAGGGCAATCAGCACCGCGCGCGCTACCGCCATCAGGGAATAGCAAGAGCGAAAAGTACAGTGGGACAGAAAAGCCCAAGCGTCCTCGTGGAAAGTGTTTGATTATATGAGCGGTTTCGCAATGGGTGTTGGGTCTTTTGGCAGGTACTGATGAAACAATGTCGCACTTCCTGCCTTGCTTCCCCTTCTGGGGCCCCGGGGGGCCGGCCGCGGCCCACAGAGCCAAACCCCGTTTTTCAACCCCCCAGTTCTTGGCGCAAAATGCGTCGGGCGATGCGCGAATATCCCCGACCCGGGACCCCTGATATGCCCCAACACGTACGGCCGGCACATCAACTCGGGCGTTCTCGTCACATACTTGCACTCATTCGGGCTTGCATCCGAAGCGACCACTCATTACTGAAGAAAACATGAAGAAAAAAACAAAACCATGGCAATTTGCGCATATACCACAACCACCCACACACTCGCATACGCTCCATACATTTCACACTTTCTCATCACACATGACACAAACGACGTAACCGAATTCTCCAGATGGCGAATGGCGCACGATTTAAAAGAGGGCATCCGATTTGGCAGGAGGTGGGAAAGGGGGGAAAGGGCGCAAATATCATCTTCACTTCTGGTTTTTTTTTCTCCGTTTAATTTCTCGACCAGGTAGTTGGAGAAAGTGTGTTTCTTTCTTTTTTCTTTTTTTTTTCTTCGTTTTACTCTTTCCTTCCTTTGTTTTCACAAATGTTTTATCTTCTTATTTTCTTTTGTTCGGGTTTTCACAAGGCCACCGATTTTCGTGGAGGGGTGGTTTTCTTGGAGTTTGGGGAGGGGTAACAACACAGAAGGATATGCATATCCCCATCCTAAGCGGAAAGTTGGCGACTAGATATACCGGTCTTGGGCATTTGGGAGGGAGAAGCGATATCATCATCAGAGTCTAGCTGGCCCTGTTCTGGGCTGTTCTCAGCGAGAAGACGGCGGCAAGGGCATCAAAGGAGAGGGATAGGCTGGAAAGTGTTATGCGCAAGGACGCAGCGGGAATTCTGATATGCTCATCTGGATGCGCCAACGGGTGTAGATGGCAAAGATGCTCTACCAAAGAGTGGCCATGATGGAGACAGAGCAAGGGCGTGTATTTTGGAAATCATGGAATGATTCCATTACCTAGCTTGATACCTTTTCTAGCCCAGTATTGCAGATGCTGTGAACATCAGCTTTGTCCCAAGTGTCCAAAGAGAAGCCGGTTGAGTTCAGTAGTCGAAACCCGAACTGTCCTTTGAATGAAATGTGTGTGTTTACTCTCAGTTGTTGCATGCACACCGTCTTATTTTAGTGTATGAGAGTTGGTGATTGGGTGGCTGACAGAACAACGGTGATCTCACCTTACTTGGTCGTGTACCGGGGGGGGGGATAGCAGAGCTACACCAAAAGACCACTACAGCTGAAAGTTGCGGGGTGGTGGTGAGACAACCAACAAGCCACAAGATGGGTATCTTGGACACACAGACCTTCCACAGGCACGCTGTACGACCTTCCCAAAACGAGATCTAGGTGGGTGGAGGTATCGTCCTAACTTTGACAACTCGTGTTCATCTCGTCAGTATCTTGGTAACTACGAACTCCACATGTCTATACGCACATACACACATCGATATGTGTACACTAAGGCCCGCGCGGTGCGGTCTACGCAGGTTACGGGCGGGTATGTACTTGCCATCTGGTCACTGATCTTCACGGGCTTCACATTTGGTAGCTACCATGAATGGTTGGCGTCTGTCACAGCGGCATATTAGTCAAATAAGCAACCAACAAGTCCGTCATTATGACTATCCAAAAAAAAAAAAAAAAAAAAAAAAAAAAAAAAAAAAAAAAAAAAAAAAAAAAAAAACCAGACACCAAGGCAGGCAGGCATCATGCCTTACACTAAAAAGAAAGTTCTGCGTGACAAAACAAGACTACCTACCTTGCCTCTAGGCAAGATTCCGAACATCTTTGACCGAGATACGTACGTTCATACATACACATATACCTGGTAGCCAAGGCGACCTGATACACAAAATGCCGGCCGCAATGCCAAGTGCTTGCATGACAGCCGCTTCCTTAAATAGATGTTGCTGCTGCAGGACAATATACAGGCATGTCAGGCAGGTAGATTGGCAGGCAGAAAGACAGATCCCCGGCATGACGGCGACGGCGGTATCGGGATGACGCGGGACAGCTAAGACAAGCACTGTCACTTTTTGTTCTCTCAAATAAGCAATTGTGGTCTTATTTGCCGCTCTTCCTACGTCCACCACACTGCCGCATCCACCGACAATCAGCTACAAATACGAAATGCGCTTTCACGGCGCGGCGGAAGTGCCCCGAACGAAAGCGAAAGCGAACCCTCTACCTACAAATGGATATCTACCTACAGGTATACAGATGTGATGAATGTGATAGACAAGACAAACCAAGACATGATCAAGATCAAGGAACGAACATGGGCAGGGTCGTGAGAATGGTGAGACGGATTAGACGAATTGGACAGACGGGCAGGGTGGGTGAGACCGGAGCGAAGAGCGGGAGTGACCGAGCGCTCCGCGCCGCCGCTGCTGCCGCCGCCGCTGTTATGGAGCCCCATGGACCATAGTCAGCAGCATGGTCGACCATGGTAAGGCAGGCTTGGTGATGAGTACAATAAGCAAAGATGAGCATGGCTCAAAGGGCGAAATACCACGGACATAATGCACCCCCGCGCATGCCCTCGGAAGCCGTCCGTTTGGATCATGTATGTGTGGATAAATCGGTTGAATGGGCAATTCTCATTGAATGAATGCTTGTTGGGTTCAAAAAGGATTGTTGTCGTCAGCACGCTAGTACGCTATGCTATGCACATGCGCTACTGTACACATCACAGACATAACCCCCCCAACCCGGCTCTTTTGACGGCTTGAATGCGATTGGCTTCCCGCCCGCGAAACGACGTTCGTCAGTCCAACAGCGATGAGCGACGACAGACCAACGAGTACGCATCCGGCTTTCGTAGTTGTTCTCGTCTGTTTGGGAAGTTTGTTAAGGGTGGCTGGTAGATAATACCGAGGACTGAATCTCAAAAGCCGAGGATGCGACACAGCCGAGCCGTTAGGGCTTTCTTTCTTCCTTTTTTTTTTTTTTTTCTTCTTTTTTCTTCTTTTTCACCTTCTTTGAGGCAACAACATATTACAATCATTGCTAACAACCAGCCTTTCTTTTCGGGTACGTATAGGACACCCATTCATGGCATCCGGTGACACATCTTCCTATTCCCGCCGCGCCATCGCTCCGAGCAGCTTTCAAAGTGGAACCAAAAGGTTCCGCATGAAAGGATCGGTGCAGCATGGCGACAGGGCATGAACAAGGAAAGTGGAAAGAAGAATAAGAAGAAAAAGAAAACCTTTTGGGGCGGATTACCGAACCGACGTGATTAACAGCTAACACGTCCGGGGATTGCATTCCTTCGTTCTCGACAAGGAAAACATGACCGAAGCGCAACGCTCCCCGGAATTTGCTGACCTTTCTCATCACACACGACGTAGGACGTACATAGGATGTGGGATGATATGGGCTAGGATGCTGGACGTGATGAGGCACCTCGTCACAAACGCTCCTACCTAGTGTACATAGGTACAGTATGTACATATGTATGTAACAAGCCTAGCCCCCCGTTCGGGGGCCCGGAGGAGGACCCATCTCTCAAACCCTTCCCATGCCATCGTCTCCCCATCACCACGTTCTACGTTGGGCGCTACATACTACATCCACGCTTGTATCCCACGTTTGCTTACTTTTTCGCATCAGACAAGCGGTCCGATGCGGTCCGCTTTAGTGGTTTGAAGAAAAAATTTTCCCCTAGGCAACTCCCTGGAAGAGACTATTTCGCTCGCCCTGTCCATACCCCCCAATTCTCGTCGTTCTCAAGGACTCCCGGCCGCTGCCACCACCGCCTTCACATGTCTGTGCGCCTGCGTTTGCCGGTGAAGCCAGGGTTCTCAATTACTCAAGAAGGGAAGAGTTGCGGATTTTGCGGGTCGTGAAGGACCCCTATTTCCTCTCTCTCAATCCTCAACGGTTTCGGTTTCCTGTGTCTCTCCCGCCGGCTAAAATGCAAGAGGGACAACTCTGGCAAAAGGGAGCGGTTTGGTTCCCGATCGGATGGACTTTTGTGGTTGGCAATTTGAACGTTCGACAAGTGTGCCGCCGTTCGATCAACAGCAGGAATTCCGGTTCGTGCCAGAGACGGGTTAGAGGGCCTATCTTCCATTTTGATCTTTTCCTTAGCTCTGGGGGGCTAGGCCAACGTCCAACTTATGTTCGAATCTCGATGTTTGCGGTTTCCCTGCAAGCCATCGCTCGCCAGTCTGTATATCATCGGCAGTCAATTTCATTCACTTTGTTTCCCTCCTGTCTCTCACTAAAACTCGGTTCTGCATCACCGAAAGTACGCCGAAGCACTGCTCACATGCCCCGTTATACTTGGATTAAGTTGGGCTGGCCGAGCAGCTAGTACATAGCTGGGTTGGGGCCGGCCCCTGTGAAATGATGGAACATGGAGGCACATCCACAACCCACCCACCTCCTTTCCGCTAGCCTCGCGAGAAACATGAATGCGGAATGAGGCCCGCTCTGCCTCTTTCACTGCTTTTCATTAGTGCCCGGAGGAAGCTCCGGTGGAGATGAGATGGGCTTCGCAGAGGAAAAATAGACGAGGGTTCCGTTTGAAGAGAAGAAGAAATGGGAAGATCACGCTAGGATAATGACTCTAGGCCACACCATCTCGACGGCCGACCCAGCAGTGATGAAAGACAGCTTGCGACATACCCAACACTGCCGAAAAGCCAAGTTAAAGCCAAGGCATTTGCTTGCGCGGGTTAACCCGCCAAAGGGACGGACGACACATGGGGGTGTGCAGAGTCGCAGGATCTGACAAGACTAAACCCAGAACGTGCGAAATGTCGTGACAAAGAGACCCATAACGAGCACGAAATCGCGATGCATAACCTCCAAAGTCTCGTCACCACCCGTCAGACAAAAACGGTTTTCATCGACAAGGGGCATTTATATTAAACTCACCCCTGACCAGAGACAGCGCGAGTTGCTTGCCATACTATCGCAATGTGAAAGGTGTTGAAGCAAGCGAGCGAAACACAATTGCATCTCGTCTCAACAGAATGGTTCCCAGACCCCTAACAAGTTACACCACTCACCATGTCTCGAGACAACCTAAAGCTGGCATTCTCGACGGCAATCACCATGTTAATACGAACAGATTCTGTTGAAGGAGGGGAGGGGGGTTGGGCTCTCCATGCGCTCGTAGGAAAATTCCAGATACGCGAAAGCGTAGGTATACTACCTACCTGACTAGAGACTGAGAGAGCCCTTGGTTAGAGCTATTAGTCGACATTTTCCTAGTCTTCAAACTTT